CTCCGTCCCTCTCCATGGTAACAGATGGATGCTGCAGTCCCAGCCCCCTCGGCGCTGGCAGGGCGGGCGGGAGACAGATGGCAGTGGAGAGGAATCAGGCCCAGATTCTCTGGAGTCAAAGAAATCGCAGGAATCCCTGATTGCAGGAGCCAAGATGCTGACCTGGCTCCGTGGGAGGGAGGGAAGGCGGAGGCGCGTGGCTCTGCCGAGCCTGGAATAGCAGAGCAGCTGTTGAGTTATCGCTTGTAATTATTACGGCATATGGGAGGTAAAGAATAGCTCCAAAGGGGAGAAAAACAAACAAGGAAAAGGCGGGATGCTGTAGGGCTGAGCTGGGGTCACGGGGCTCTTTTCTCCATCAGATCCAGCGGGAACTGGGGTGGGAGGGGTGGCACAGTGCAGGTGAACACCGTGTTCATTTCAAATATTTAATTCAGAAGTTAAATTTAAAGCCTATGAAGTACCAGTTGCTGGAGGCTGGGTGAACGTTTAGGGCAAGTTTTGATGGTTGCTCATCCTGCGCAACAGGTACGTATCAGCAGAGATAGCGAGATAAGGAGACGTTATTCATCCTGGCTCACTGTTTCCTGAGCACCTGCTGATGGCTGTAACTGGACACGACACAGGCCTAGGGGTTGGGGTTACGATGGCAGGGTTAGGGTGACAGGGTTGTTGTTAGGGTCTGCTCTGCAGGGAGCCAACATAGCGAGCACAGAGTCAGCTCCTGCTCTCCCTGCCCAAAGCAGAATTTGCTCAAAGCAGGCAGCCAACATGAGGCTCCTGTAAGCCTTCTTCAGCCATCTGAGTGTGCTAATTGCTCACCCAGTGACTGTTTCCCTTCCCAGCTTCTGTCCTTAAGAGCAGCAGTGCAGCCAGCACGAAGTCTGCCCCAGCCAGCAGCAAGGTACTGCTTGCAGCAGGATGTGGGGTGATGGGAGCAGGACCCAATGCTGCTTGCGCCCATCATGACAGTGGCAGCCCTGTGATTTCTTTTAATGCTAGTTAGATCAGGACATTCTGGGTCTCTTACTCCAAATCAACCTGATCCTCACCCTGTGAATCACCCTGCAAATGAGGCACTGGAAATCCGAAAGACCATTCAAGCTCTGTGAACCAGAACATGAATAAATTCTATATGACAGGGAACAGCCCCAGTGCCCATTAAAAGCAACCAAGCAAATCCCACCGGCATCCTGGGATCTCTGCCGAGACATGTGCAGGGCTCAGAGAGCAAAGGAGCAGCTCTGCAGAATTACAGAATATCCCCAAGTAGGAAGGGACCCCATAAGGATCACTGAGTTCGACTCCTGGCTCCACGTAGGACCGCCCAAAATTCAAACCAGGTTTCTGAGAGTGTTGGCCAAATGCTGCCTCAACAGGGCATCAACCACTGACACGTCAGAGAAGAGAGAGGCAGGCTGGCTGCAGAGCCAGCTGTGCTAAGTGAGAACTGCAGTGCCTTCGGGAAAGGTGGTTGTAGCATTCAGTGTGAATTAGCTGTAGCTGATCCCAAAGGACAGGTGCCTTCACAATGTTCTATTCTCCTGTAATTATCTCATTGCAAAAATGTAATAATAGCAAGTGACAGAATGTATTAACCGATGTATTAACAGATGGTGTTTTCTTAAGAGGTACTCTAAGGTGATGCACTGGCACAGGCTGCCCAGGGAGGTGGGGAAATCACCGTCCTGAGGGTGTTCAAGGACAGCGCAGATGTGACAGTGGGTGACACGGACTAGAGTGGTCACAGCCACAGGTTGATGGCTGGACTAGCTATCTTTCCAATCTTAATTCTATTAGGCCTTTTGTCACAGTTCCTGACTTCCCCACTCGCTCTAATTCCACCTCACTGAAGTTGCAAAAGAAGCCAAGAGTTGCGAGACCTTTGAACACCATCAGCAAAACGGAGGTGGTTTCCATAGTCCAGCACATGCATTGTCTGAATGTAAATAGCTGAGACCTCCCAGAACGTTCCCTCGTTTCCTTATCTTCCTCTGCAAATCACACCAGTTGTCTTGGCTGCCAGCAGCTCCTTGTCTGAGAGCTATCTGCCCTGCTCACCTCCTCTCCCCTCAGGTCTGACACACTGGAAAGCCCTTATCACCACCCATGTGTTTATTCTGTTCAAACTGCAAACTAAAAAAAAAAGACAAGCTAACCATTCTTTGCAAAGTCTGCTTGATCTTAAGGTAAAGTTGTCACTTTTTCCATAGCAACAATGGCCTCTCCTTTATTTTTCCATTCCGCTAATCTAATCCAAAGATCTGTGTTTGGATTCCAGCTCCCCCTGAACCGTGCATAATCCAAAAAAATCAGTATTGTGCAACAGCAGTCAAATGGGGAAAATAACAGCTCTCTTTTTTTCTTCAAAACCACAAAGCTGTCACTAGATACAAGGAAAGAGATAGGGCGGTCTCTGGGCAACCTGTCCCAGGGCTTCACCATCCTGGTGCTGAGCCCGTGGCAGATCTGGCAGAGCTTGCATCTGTGACCTACAGCAAAAATAATCTCTTCAGGATGTGCTGGGGTTGTGCATAGCACTGCTGGATGCCGTACAGCACGAGCACTGAGGTAGGGTTGGGGTGTTCTCCATGGGGTCTTGTGCAGCACAAGTTTCCTATGAAAACAGCCCCAAAGAAATCAAGGTAGGTGGTGCATGAAGGCACAGACGATGGGGCACTGCATGAGCCAGCACATGGGACACAAAAGGATGTGACGAAGGACAGGTTGAGCCCACTGTCTGCTGAATGCCTCCCAAGTGATCCAAACCTGCTTGCATTTGGTTTCCCAGTCATTTCACTTTTAAAACTTAACTTGTGAGACTCTCTTCTTCCCTCTAGTGTCCATTTCAAGATATTAATTCCTCCTGCTCACCAAATTCAGCAAAAGCTGTGGGTTGCCTCAGCACAGGGGCACCCACAATTTTCCTCAGACAGGAGAACTGACACTCCACTTTTTTCCTTACAGATTGAAAACAGATGAACATCAGAAACTGAAGACCAAACTATACCACTTATCAGACAGACCAAACAGTTTGTTCAAGGGCCCCATTGAAAACCACTGTGGAGCAGAAAACTGTTCCTATTGCCTCTAGGGTGTGACTGAGGCTGTCACCACGAGGTTATCTTCCTTTTGGTGGCACCACGATGTCACTTCCCAACTAGTTGCCAGTCCCACTGGCAACTCCCTCTTCTGGGACAGAGAAATGCCATATCCACACCCTGAGCTCCAGGAAGTTCTTCTGGCCTCCAGCCCTGCTGAGGAAAGCTGAGTGCAAAGCCTCTGGTGGCACAGAAGGCCACCAGCCTTCCAAAATGCAGCAGCCATCCCTCCAGGGATGTCCAGTGCTCCAAATACTGCTGGGAACAGCAAGCACTAAAAGGAGACTCTCTTTCAGGCTGGCAAGGAGATGTACAAGATGGCATATTCCCTGTTCCTGTCTCCATGCCATGTGGGCTAATCTCAGAATCATGGCACAGACATAGAAGTGACACGAGGCTGGAGATCACCTGTTCCAACCCCCTGATGGGGAAAAATTGCTCGGCTTCCCAGGAGCACCTGCAGTGTGCGTGGCACAGAGGGGCACCAGGGCACCGTGGAGCTGTCTTGATGGCTTCCCCCATCTGCCAAGCTCATTTGCCATCAGACAGCTCAGTAATTACAGACAACAGCCTCTGCAGCCTTGTACAGCAGCTGAGCAGCCTCTTCTCATCTTGTCTCCAATTAATCACGTATGACAACTTGTGCATGGCAGCATCATCCTCTCAAAGTCCCGAGCCTGGGTACCACTTACAACTCAGAAAAAGAACGATTATTCCCTGCATTAACCAAACATCAGTCACTGCCAGGGAACAGACCAGGCTGCACTGTGAGCCACCTCAAATCCCATTACACAGCAGAGATACTGGCACTACCCAAGGATGAGGCACTCAAGCCATCACTCCAGAAGCATCCATGCCTTACCATGGGTGCACTGTGCACAGCACCGAGACCAGACACTAGGGCTCTGAACACAGTGCCTGTCCAAGAAACTACCCTAGAAATTATCCAGGGCTGACCTGTAGTCTGTGTTTAAATGAGATGTGTATGTAAGACTTTCTTCCCTAAATGTCTCCTGGGCTTCTTCCTCCTTGGCAGCCAAAGACAGTATCTCCTCTTCATCTGGCAATAGAGATGAACATGTTCCAAGCGCAAAGCAGCACATTTCTACAAAGCCTTCAAATGCAAGTAAGCACAGCAGCTACGAGCAGTGTGTAAGAGCTGTGCTACGTATAAAGTTGCGGTGAGGACACTGGACAGACTGACATCCCTGTGACATCCCTGGAAGCAATGACAGACAGCAGTGTGGCAGCCTAGCAGCTGGTGGAAACATCCCTACCTGTGGCAGGGGTTGGAACTGGATGGGCTGTAAGGTCCCTTCCAACCCAAGCCACTCTATGATCAATAGGTAGAGCAGACACCTTGTCCTGATCTATGATCAATAGGTAGAGCAGACACCTTGTCCTGATCTATGATCAATAGGTAGAGCAGACACCTTGTCCTGATCTATGATTTAGCAGTGTAAGGATAAATCCCTTTTTTCTGATGACACCTCCAAGCCCTCCCCCCACTGCAGCGATGCTCCTTGCCCCAAACATGCACAGATCCAAGTAGTGCTCATTGAGAGAAGAACCCCCAGGCACTTCTGAGAGCAGTTTCCGAATCTGTACCCAGAGTTCTGCACCCACACAACACGTGCAGCCCAGTCCAGCTGCCCCGTTTTCTAAGCACAAAAACCCACTTATGCTTTTTTTTGTCTGCCCTCTTGAAACCAAAGACGCAAACTGAGAAGGAGGCTCAGAATACCCAAAGAGCGTGCTCCTACCCATCACCCACTGTTACAGCCCTGCACAAGAAGAGCCTGATTGTTGCCCTGCTGCAGACTATTTCTGAAAACTGTGCTGCCACTTTGGGTCAGGTTCTTTTTGGCCATGGTCATGGCCAGTGACACTGGCAAAGAGTCAATCCGAGGAGCCAGTTTAATGACACAAGCATTGGTGTTGGGCAACATCTGCCTCATCCACAGCATTTCATGGATCACATACCAAGTGGTTTTTGATGCTTTTTGATGGATGATTTTCTCTAGTGCCCACCAAAACTAGGCAAACTAGCTACCAGCTGCAGGATATTTTCTAAGTGAAAGCAGTGCACCATAACAAGCTGAAGATTTTGGGCTTTCCCTGCCATTCCGTTCCTTTACTTTTAGCTGACTGGTAGAGAGAAGACATAAAACAATTAATTAACTCACCACATAATTACTGTTTCATCAAGTGATTTTAAAATATATATCTAACACGGTAACTGAAACTGTAAAAAATATGATGATGCTGTTTAAGACTGCAAACATCAATAAAGTCATAAGGCACAGCCACTGGGATCAGCACCACAGCCTGCAGTCACTAAAACCAGCTCTTTTGAATCTCAACCAACTATAAAGCAAATGCCCCATTATAAAACAAGAGATCATTTTCTTACTTCCCCTGCCTCATCTTTGCCTCTGCATTATTTAAAATGACTCAGTCATATGATACGCAAACATGCTCAGGTCAATGCTGCCTTGAACCCTTGGCTTTGTCCCCGAATGCTGAGTTCTGCAAAAGCCACACACAGCAGGGATGCTTGTAGGCAAGGCTGCTGAGCATGAGGTGGAATGCTGCACATCTACTTCCTCCAGCCCACCCTGGAACTGGCAGGCACTGAGCCCTGCTGGTTTACTGCCACTGCCTCACCCACAGAGTGGGGCACGAGGCAGGAGAGAGGAAATACATTAAGAGTTGTTCTGCTTCAGTGCATGAAGGCTGTGCAAAAAATAACCACGCTGGCTGTCATAAGAGGTTGATTAGCTCTTCTGTTGATCAGCAGGTGCTCTTTAAAGAAAGTACTTCTGGACCAGCTGTAGCCTTAATTGAGGCAAATCATGGCATTTGTTTGAACTGCTCTACTTGCACAGTTCTGCTTTTATCTTGCAGAGGCGGCTGAAAGATGGCACTGATCCTCCAAGTGTCAGGACTGCACCCAGTGCGTGGAGATGACACGGCGTCAATGGGTCTGATACACACGGGCTATGAAAGGGGGACTCCTGCTTTGAGACGTTGATGAGACAGAGGGACTGGCTGGCAGCTTCTGCAGCACTGCCCCAGCAGTTGGAGGGCAAACAGCATTCAGCAGCCCAACCCTCCCCGAGGGGCTTGGGGGTGAGAGGACAACTGGCTGGGGATGGCTGGTCACTCTGCAGGGACTCCTGTCCAGGTTGGGGCTGAGGAAAAGAGAAAAACACCACAGTGGCATTACACTCTGGATCTGGACACCTGCAGTCAAAGAAGCAATTCAATGTCAACTTTACAGCAAGAAGATCTAGAAACAGCCATGTTTTGGTGCATGTGATACTTATCTGATGCCTACATTATTTTTCTAAGTGTTTTCTAACATAGGTTGATAAAAATCTGAAGGTAAAAAAGCCACAGTGGAATGTCAAGAACTCACACTTTACTCAAGGAGTCTCAAAGTACCACTAAAACCCTCTGCAACAGAGGATCTATGTGTCCAGAGAAACGAAGCCATGAAGGGTCTGGAGCACAGGCCTTATGGAAGAGGAGGCTCAGGGGAGGCCTTATCACTCTCTACACTGATCTGAAATGAGACTGTTGTGAGGTGGGGGTCAGCCTCTTCTCCTCAGTAACTGCCAGAGGATGAGAGGGAATGGTCTCAAGTTGCACCAGGGGAGATTCAGGTTGGATATCAGGAAAAATGTCTTAGAAAGAACGGTGAGGCATTAAAAGAGGAAGGAGGTGGAGTCATCATCACCCTCTCCGGAGGTATAGAAGGAAAGTGCAGTGCCAGCTGTGCACATACCTGATGCCTGCTGATCCAACAGCTGTGGGTCCTGAGATAGGCCTCTGCCTGGCAATGCTGCCATCAGGCTGGCAATGCCCTTGGGGGCTGAAGGGCAGAGACTCCTGTGCTGCCGGTGCGCTGTGCATGCTCAGAAGAGCAAGGCCCTTGCCCAGCAGCTGAGCTGAAGTCTCTTGAGTTGCCCTTGCCTGGCATTGCTGGGGCTGCCTGCCCTCCTCTGGGCTGGTTAGCTTCAGGCACCTTGCCCTGTGCTTCCTCAGCTCCCGGGGTCTTGCTGCAAAACCCATCAGAGTTGCAGGTGAAGGACTTTTTGGAGGATACGGAATTAGACATTGGTTTTGGCTTTCCTGAGCACGTAATGAATCTGAAACATGGGCAGAAGCACAACAATTTACTGCTTCATCGTACTAAATGTGCTAAATGACTGACCATCTTGTCCAACAGTCAACCCATCACCACTACGCCCACTACCAGAAGCTCCCCAACCTCCTGTCCCAAGGCAGGACCAAGCACACCTGTGCCATTCCTGGCCAGTGCTCACCCTGATCTGTTTTAAGCACCCAAGTTCCCCATCCATCTCTCTGAAGTTCAATGCACAAAGATCACAGATGAGTTTTTCTTAGCCCATGTAATCCTCAGGTGCAGCACACACAAGAAAATGCATATTGGTGACTTACAGATATAACAAGCATATGTACATGCTTCAAAACCATCCTATATATAGCAGGGATCCAGTTGCTTGTCTATTAAAAGACCCAACTGCACCTAACTGCCTGATGTGCAGAATCCGTGGCAGGAACACTATCTAAAGAACGTGCCACCCAAACCCAGGCACAGAAAATTCGTGTTTATATCTCCTAATGCATTTTACTGTGCAGATAACCATATAAATTTTCCTACCACAGCATGTGCTTTAAAAATGACTAAATCTGACATTTGTTTTTTTTTGTTTGTTTTAAAGATACACTGAAAGAATGGCATGCCTGACTCCAGAGCCTGAAATATCACTGAAAGACTCCAAAGCATGCAGATTATATAGACCTGATGCTTCATGCACTTTTAAATAGGAGCAGTTTAGTTCCAGTCACTTGTCCTTTCCTGGTCAGGATTATTTCCAGCAACGAGCTCTGATGTGTCCAGAAAATCACATTAAGTAGGACAAACTTCTACAGTTAAGTGGCTCTCCAAATCTTCAAACAAAGTCTCAACTCACAGAACTCAAGTTCATTTTTAAGTACTTTGTTGAATAAAGTCAGTCAGTTGTTAAACTTCTATCAGGTATTTGCTCTGCAAAACACGTATGTCTGTTAGGGACAGTGACCAAAGGCTCTTGTTTTGTTTGTTCCATATGAACCTTGGTCATGAGGGCCAGTTGTTTATGATCTGGGTCATCCATTCCACCCCTAGGTGACACCAGATTTCAAACCATTCAGTCAACCTTGTTGACTTGTCAACCTCATTGACAGATCTCAACAACTACACTTACGCCCATCCACTTCTGTGAGGTACGGCATTGGCACGCTGAGATGTTTGGAGATCACAGCAAATCATTCTCAATCTAAAGAAATCATATTAAATCTAAAAATCATTTTACTAAATAGATCTAGTGATCTAAATAGATCTACAAGTGATCTATTTAGATCACTAGATCATGGTCTAGGTTTTTTTGTGGTCACTGGACAATAGGCCATTCCTTTACGTTTTTCCTATCTGTTTCTATCCTTGTTAAGGAGATATCATTTATTTTACATTTTATACAGACGAGACTTTGAATTGCTCAATTATTTTTTCTAATTAGGATGCTTACATTTTTTGTTACAAATATATTTGGAAAAAAAATATTATATATTTTTCCAAATTTTAATAGCTTCATTTAGTCCTTGAAATAAATGTAAAACCACATCTCACACGCTAATACCTACTGAAGCAAAAAATGTGACTATTAACAGTGGAAATAGATTTAAGTCATACTTTTTTAATCTCCTCTACTTGGAATAACCATTATTAATGTTTCTAATAACCTTAAATACGATATTCAACAACTCTGCTCTCATTCATGTAAGTGCAATTCCAGAGAGGTCTTTGGCTTTCTTCCTGAGCAAAAGAGCACATTTCATTTTTAAACACTCTACTGAATGTCTTCCCAGAATTCCCAGCAGCCCACTTGCACCTTAATCATCAGCTCAGACATTACCTGCATCAGTGCCAACTGGGGTAAAACAGCTCGGTCGGAACAACAGTATTTTACACTCACCTGACACCACCACAAATCAGTGACACAAGATGAAAGACAAAGGCACATCCTTCATCTAGCCAGAACGCTCAGATGGTGTAAGAAGAGCTTTATTTCCCCTAATTCTACAGATCTTTGTTGAAATACACCAACTGATGGCCAACACAATTGGTCACTATGTCCTGAGCAGACACTAGGTGCCAGACCTCATGAAACAACACAGTTCCTAAAAAATGTATCAGTCAACAGTCAGCAGCACTCGCCCCTACAGAAGGGTGTCAACCCTTCTCTAGAGGTTTAGGTCCAATACCTGAGGAGGACTGGGAGAGATAGGAGTGGCAAGAAGAATCAGGTGAAATCCCTTCAGTGAGATCCTCATCTGAGGTGTCCCTCAGCTCACTCTCAGCACCACTGGCTGGGCTGCAGCCTTCATCCTCTTCCTTATCATCTATAGCTAGCTTTGCTGCTGGGATGACACTTTCTTGCTGAGCTGTGTGCAGGCACCTGGACAACGGGAAGTGTATCACCATTGAGGATAGTCTTGAGTTGAGAACATGCAGTAAGCGAAGTGCAGGCAAACAATGAGTCTGCAGATTTAGCCACTTACAGTGCTTTGCCACTTACCTGCTGATATGCAGAATCGTCCTAAATGGATCAGACATAATGTCTGATCATCTGAAAGCATTCCTTTCCCTATCCCACTGCCTTCCCAGCAGGGATGAGCCACCCCAATCTGCAGGGCGAGAAGGCAGAAGGCTGTCCCACAGAACAGCCACCAGGTGGCCAAAGAGTTTGTTTTATTTTACAGCAGAAAACGAATCCCTGCTCTATTGCATGACAAGAATTCTCCCACACTCTCACCGCCGCTGATGCTGCTCTCTCCACACTCTCGGTGCAGAGAAGACGTCTTCCTGGCTCACATCTCCTCCTCCTACAGAGATGTCAGGGTTTTCTATCTTCAGACTGCGCAGTTTCAAGGAGCTCGCTGCAGGTGGCTGGAAAATGACACAAGTAGCCTTGATGACCTCAGGAACTTCTGCCACACTGGACCTCAAGGATCACAGAGGGATCGTAAACCAGACTGCACACCCTATGGGTGTTCTCTCACTCAGTTACTGGCCCTGGGACACGAACAAGCTAACCTGTACGGCCACAGTACTGCTCCACCACTGAGAACAACACACTTCGTATTTACTTAATCAACAGCAATCACCTCATAGACCTGACCACGCCAACATCAAACCACTGAAAAATCTTCTGCTAAATAGTTATTGTAGAAATGCCACCAAATACTGTCATTTTGACTTGGGCTTTGATTAGTAAGTTGACAAGAACGTGGGGCTTGGGGTCCATAGAAGAGAGTGAGCTACTCAAACCACAGTGGAAACTCAGTTTATCATAAGATTTATGTGGGCGACCAGGCAGGAACATGAAGTATACAGGAAAAACATACACCTAGCTTTAGCCTCCTCGCACGAAGGGCCTTGATGGGGTTACCACATATAACTTGGCTGAGTCCTAAGAGAAAAGAAAAAAATAAATAAATCATTCCAGCATTTGGCAAATTGTGCTGTCTTTGAAATCAGTCAACATCATTTCCTGCATACAAAGGGATGTAATATTTTATGGTGTAGGTTCACTGTGTAGCTCACATGGCTGACACTGATGCTAAGAGGCAGTTTCTCTGTTCCTCCCAGAATCCCTTTCTTCCTTCTCCTGCCCTGCCTCCCCCACTGTGCTGGTACACACATTTGTGAGGCTAGGCTACGTAGTAAGAGCAGAGAACAGATCCAGATTAAAACAGAATATGGATTTTTTTTTTTTTTTGTCATTTTTCAGCTGATCTTGAGCAGAATTAGGTTCTCCATATGCCTGTGCAGATGCTCTTGTCAAAACAAGAGACAAGGCAGCAAAGGAGAAGACAGAAGCAGTGAGCATTCGGTGAAATGGTCACTATCAGTAGAGCTAGCACCTAAAAAGTAAAATTATGGTCTCATTCTCTGGCAAGCTGTACTCGGCTTCCATGCACTTTTCTGAATGTACACCCAGCTGTTAATGCCACACTGCTTCATCCCAATCATCTTCCTAACTCCTCCCTACAGTCAGGAACTGAGGTGGGATTGGTGCCTGGGAGAGGCAACCACTGCTTCTTCCTATCTTAGTCAGCCCCTTCAGAGATACTGGAATTTCACAATCTAAGTCTCCCCAAGGAAATGAGGTAAGGATGCTTTGGGAAGTCCTACATTTCCTATGAACAGTGAATTCTCTTTCTAATCAGCTGTCCCCAGGAGTCCAGTCAGCAGGTTTCAAAGACATCTTTGATCTCCAGTTTGATTTCCTTGACCTATGTTATGTCCATGCTGTCACCTGCCCCCAGAAGAACAAGGATGCAGCTGAGGAAGCATGGATGTCATTCATTCTGTATGAGCCTAGGCAGCACAGGGCACTCCATCCTCATCTCTATTTGTGCTAACATGGTGGTGCTCCCATGCGGCAGAGGCAGGCTATCAGGGCACAGCAAGGCACTCGCACAACTGAGGTTTGAGCTTGCCTGCAGATCAGGTATGTGAAACCAAGGAACTGAATCTTTTTATTGATCCAACCCTGGAAACCCAAAAGGACGGAGTCGCTGATCACAGAATGGCTTAGGTTGGAATGGACTCTAAAGATCACTGAGCTCCAACCTCAACGCCATGGGCAGAGCTGCCACCCATCAAAACAGGCCGCTCAGGGCCCCATCCAACCTGGCCTTGAATGCCTCCAGGGATGAGGCACCCGCAGCTTCTCTGGGCAAGTAGAAATGATATATCAAGTGGTTTTTGATGGTAGTTATCCTGCTGCAGTATAAGTCTGCAGAACACATACTGCACCTTCCAGAGCATAATCCACTGGGGAGCAATGTGCATCAGCATGCCTGTCTAGAGAACTTGGCTGTATGGATCACATTACAAAGATTGAACGAGATGAGTCCAGGTTTCTTCATGTTAGCTGAGCCTGATGTAGCCGTGGCATAGTTAGGTGTTATTCAAAGCATCCAGGTTTCTGTCAGCAATAATAATATCCAGAAGCAGGTGGAGGTGAAGGAAGGAACAAGATTAAAAAATTACATTACCATGTGTCAAATCACTGGAGTCATCTGGAAACAGGTCTTCAGAAATAGTGGGATCTGGAAGAGGAGAGCTGCTGTACAACAGACGGGAACTGCTACACCTTCCTGCACTAGGAGACCACTGTGCAGTTCCAAGTCTGGAAGTTGTAGGAGGTCTTGGGCTGCATCCAGGCTGCCTTGCCATTGCACATGGACCTAAGAGAGAAGTTTTACCAGCATAAGCACAGTGGCTGTAAACCACACCACCACAATGCTGGTAGTGACAGCCACTTTACCAGTTATCAACTAGGGCAAACCACATACACAAGTTATGGAAAGCTGGGAATTGCAGTTATATTTTTCCAGACAGCCACTTCTGACACCAGAAAGAAAAGTGATAATTGAATTTCATAGCGGTATAGGATAAGATGGATTATACAAAAGCTAGTGGAGGCAGATAGAGCCTTGAACTCCTACCTGCTCAAATGTCTGCTGTCCAGGGAGCAGAGCAAGGCTGTGCCAGTAGCATGTGCAGCTACCAATTTGTAGGAGGGCAAATTTCATTTCAATGCCTAGATGAATAGCTTGCACTTTAAAGTATTGAGCATCTAGCAGCTCTATAATGGAGCTCCACAATTGGCACTGTAATATTATGGTCATTTCATTAAGAGCTGAGTGTTAGAGACCTTCAAGTTATCTTGGTTGTAGTTGTTCCTAAAGAACCGTGAAACACACAGCAGATGCAGAGTATGTATTGCAGTAGGAAAGAAGAAAACATGGGGATGCCTAAACCTGACCATATGAACTTACCAGTTTATAGCCAAAGGCAAAAACATAACTCTAGCTACATTAGACAACAAAACAAACTAGTTTTGTGCTCATTCCACACAGTTTCCCTCAGTCCACGCTGTTACTAGTCTTCTGAACCACAGTTGATCCTGCCAAATGGGGATCACTGAGGGATCAGATTCTAATGGATTTTTTCACTACCGTAGCTACTACTGCATCTAATGATCTGGATCCGCAGGGATTAAATAAATGACAAACGTATGTATTTATTCCAAAACAAACTAAATTTTTAATGGAGTACAGTTGGCAGGCAAATTGCAGCGGTGGGGGTCAGGAAGCCAACGACATTGCCAGCGTTAATGGGAAGCAACAGGAGCAGTTATAGGAAATACTTTGTAATGTTTAATGGGATGTGGCAAAGTGCATGTAGCACGATATGTAAGAGTACAGACATTTGAACTATAACCAAGGCTACGAGCAAGGGGACAAAAGATTTATTTTCCACCCATTTACTCTATCCTAATGAATGTAATGGGCTTAATCATGGAGAAAAAGAACGTGGAACGGAGGTATTTCACGATGGTGCAGCTCAGTTGCTAGGAACCCGCTGCCACTAGGAAGTGGTGACCAAACTGCCTTTGGTATCATTACACCAGAGTAGAAAATCCTGCTACTTCCATGCAACATGGGATTGATTCCTACCATAGAAAGAAAATGCTGAGAGCAGCTGTTGAAACAGTTTCCAAACTTTGCTTCTTCTAATCACACACAAAGAATACTGAGCACAGGCTCCCAGCTACTGCTGGATTTACTCGATGCTTTACAAGTCGTTTGCATTTCTCTGATCTTGGTGGCCAGCACTGAACAGCTTTCATTTAAATTTGCAGCATGCTGAATTCCAGCTTCCCCATTTCCCATGTGAAGACGACCAAGTCCTTTGTCACTTCTCTGCAATTAAGCTTTGGCTCTGAAGAAGCCAGCTAGCTCTTTGGCTTTCCTTTTCACACTTCATAACCTGAAAAACGAACCCTGATGGGAAATCTGACGTACCTAACCATGAAATGTCTCTGGGCAAACCACCCTCCTTGATGGATTCCTTGATGATTAGCCAGTCCTCATTCATCTTACTGGAAGGAGAGACAGCAGTCTGGCTTGCTGGCATTCCATCCAAATACTCCAGGTGGGGAATGAGTTTTTTCACTTCAACTCTGTAATTGTAATCTAGTTCCTGGAGAAATTGAGAAAGTGATCATTTGAACAGTTTGCTTAACAGACTGTGGACTTTCATCAGCAACAAAACACTGTTCAATTTCTATTACTGCCATACACTTTGAAATGCCTCTATGAAGTAAGCCCGTTTGCTTTATCCAACAGAAGTAAATAACATCAGAAGTTACCTTTCACTGTGTTTTCTACTCATATAATTTCTACTGAAATTCTGAATGCAAACAAATTACCCCCCACCCATGGCCCCTCTGCTGTTCATCTGCTGATGACTTAGAATTTTATCTTCATTATACTACATATGCTGTACAGAAGTGAAGGCATCCACCTGACGTCCACAGAAAGCCTGGGCATCCTCAGCATTTGCCCAACCTCTCCCCCTGGTTTTGTGATTCTCTGGTTGCCACATCAACAGTAAGGTGATAGCAAGACTGAAAATACATTACAAGTGCAGCTATGCTTGGTGATGGATGAAGGCACAGCTATAAACAAGCTGCAGTGAACGAGCTGCATTGATTTTCTGGGGCAGTCTTCAGGGTATTCGCGTGCAATTTTACACATCGTTAGAAGAGATGACTTATTTCAAACTATGCTATCTTCTGCAGGAGGTTGCATGCCAACAGCAGGTGCACAAGAGACTGAAATTGACTGCTTTGGGATTTCATTTCCATGCGCTGGAACAACAACACTATCACTTCTGACATACATGGTCTCACTGACAAGCAGTGGGGAAAGCATTGATGCAGCCCCCTTCTGTACATGCGGGTGGAGCTGACCATGAATAAAATCATTTGTGAACCCATCCCAAGGTCAGGGACCTCTAGGCAACAAAACAATCCAGAGCAGTTATGACTGTACACCGTGAATTGGTCCAGTTTTGTGGATGCCAGCAGTAGAAAGACATTTCCATGTAGCACTTTCACCTCTGGGAAAGTTTAGCAATATCTCAGGGCAGCGGGGCATTCAGCTTTGCAATCATAGAATGGCTAGGGTTGGAAAGGACCTCAAGGATTATCAAGCTTCAACCTCCCTGCTGCACGGAGGGCCACCAATTTCCATATCTAACACTAGACCAGGCTCCCAGGAATGTAACGGAAATACTGCAATGGGAAATAGTCTTGGGTAATAAATGGCTGTGAAAGGTGGTGGTGATCTCATATGCTTCAATAAGTATAAAACAAGAGCGCGTTGCTAGTGGCAGAAAATGCATAGGTGGTTTCCCCGAGACATATCAGCCACCTATAAATGAATTGCTTGATGCAGATTGATGTCGTGCTTTCCAGGATATCACAAGCAGTGTTAGAAAACCTCACAGAGCTGTCATGAACAGAAACCTTTTGGAGATAGCTGGATGGCTGTACACTCCCTCCCTCCACACAGCACAGCAGCAAGGCTGGCAGAGGGAGCTCACCAAATAAAGCGTGTAATTGTTGTTAAGGGGCAGACACCACACTCCTCCAACTGAGCCTTTCATCTTAATTTAGAAAGTGAGTCAACCAATCACCATGCTACCACGTACCGCATGTGCTCTGAGCAGAGCCTGGGCTGCAGCCAATCTGCAGCCATGTCCTGCTTAAGCAGAGCATCATGTTACGCTCATGGTACATTACTGCAAGAGAGGCTGCAACATTTATCACTGGGTTGTTGCTGTTGGTTTAGATAACAGAGGAAGATGAGCTCATCTGAAAATCAAATTACAGAGAGCGAGCAGGCAGTATGAACAAAGAGCAGTAAACCTAGCTGGGCCATTCCATACGTTGGAAACAAGTAAATGGGAGAGCTTGTACAGAGCTACAGCAAAGCCACACAACAAGATTGAGCAATCAGAACCCATGTCTCACTCTTTTCTGTATTTCAGGTGATTGTCCATCAGAAGCAGGCAGTGCTTCCTTACTGTCAGAATATTTGGGTTTTTCTCTCACAATTACATCTTCGACAAGAGAGGAATGTTGATAGAGAAATCACTGTGAATATAAACAGCTGCAAGAGTGGTCTCTGAAGTGCACTCCTAACAGCTCAAAACAGAAAATGAGTGTGTAATACTGTATTTTGGATTCCAGAGAGGAAAATCATGATAACTAAAGCACTACCTTTTGCAGCTGCTTTTATCGAGGGATACAACCAAACCAATAATTTCATCTCAGAAACTCTTGCACCTTAAAAATGTGGAGATGCAAAATATCCCTACATTATTGAGTTTCACTGATAACACCTCAGTTTTCTGGACTAAGTCTAGGACAAGTATCAAATCCATTCTTTCATGAAAATTAGTGGTATGGGTATGACCCCTTTGAAACACACAGGGAAGCTATGGAACATGGCACAGTGGATATGCAGCCCCAGCTCCTGCTTTCTTGCATTATTGACTCCTTATGGCACCACTGTGGGATGTGCCATCCTTAGTGAATACTGTCGATTATGTACCTACATATATGTGGATGAAAGTACATAGCATGGCAGCTGCAAGCTGTTCTTTGGTACGTACTAGACCTCATGTGACCAAAATGAAGAACAGTCTTTTCTGAATAATTTCTTAAACTCCACTTTTCTTCCAGTTACCTCCTGAGCAGATGCCAATATGCTTTTTGTTATACCTCAGGAATGCTAATATTTTCAAGTTAGGTAAAGTGAAAGAGAGCAGAACAGCTTTAAAATCATAAAATAAAATAACATTAACATAAACATAAGATTAGATCTTCCTTACTTTTCTAGCGGACCACCCTGAAACCCAAGGCAGATCATGTATTGCTTTATCATCATCTCTATGACACAAAGAATCTCCTGCACTTACCAGAATACCTTTTTAAGAACTGATTTTATCATTTCAGTATTTAAGAGATGTACCTCCAGCGTTTACAGAGGTCTTTTTGGTCATTGCATTTTAACCCTTTCAGGGAGAGGACAATTCCTACAATACAGCCTTTGTTAGTTACTTCAAGCATCTACTCTAAGTTTTGAGAATGGTGATTCCAAAGAAACTGATGTTGGACAGGTGATCCTTCAAAAGAATACAAAAGCCTAAAGAATGCTGTCTAACTGAGAAATTTCAGTTGGCACACCTCATAAGAGAAACATTAGCTACTTTCTAACTGGCTGTAAAAAACTCTGACAAGCTATAAGGACCCATGCAACTGAGGTCCATGCTCTCACTGGTCCTCCTTTAAGATTTCATATCACACGGTTGAGTCCTAAGATGATTTCTAGTTTAATCCCATTCTCACAGGTAGGAAGTCTCACACTGACAGGGAACAGGCCTGACTCCTGACCAGAACTCCTTGTATGTCATTTGTGCTTATGTGAGAGACATCCACAAGAGGACAAGATCTACACAAACAAAACATGGGAAATGTGTCCCACCTCACCATTCAGATTAATACAATTGAAAGACATGTTTCTCATTTGCAACACACATTTTAAAAGCACTATGAAAAAATAACATAATCTGTACAAACCATGCTCTCACCTCTGCAGATTCTGCATTTGGCTTTAAACAAATAAGGTTGCCCTGAACTGTCAGGCTGCTCAGTTTGCAGCAAAGCCCCAGGTATTGCATCTGGTTGATGTCCTCAATATTGTTTCCTTCCAGGTCCAAAACCTCAAGGTGATCCAAAAAGCTCAGTGGGCACAGGTCTGAGATTTTGTTGTAGGCTATGTAGAGTTCCTCAGCAGAAGGAAACAGAAGTATTAACAGGTTCACATTAGTAACACTCAGTATTTGCAAAATGAAGACTACAATTAAAGAGAAAATATCAAGCGAAGACAGATACCAAATCCTTCTTTGGCAGGACACATTGATACTTACTTTTAGAGAGCTGAAGGCAGAGATTCCATCTAAATCTAAGAGCCCACAGCAAACCATCCACAGCATGTGGAGATGGGACAACGTGGTTCCAAGATCCCTTAAGAAAGAAATAATGGAAGCTCCATTTGAATGGGCAAAGGAACTCAGGACTCGCTTTCTTTTCCCTAGAATTAGGTCATTGCTACCTTCTTCAAAACACATTTTTTACAAGAATTGTCATTAAAAATGTCACCTTCAAAGATGGAAATGCAATTATAATGCAAGCTTTTCCTCCACAGAGATCCTTGCTCGTGTGCCAACATGCCTCTCCAGTTCTGCTTGAAAAAGATTCTTCCAAGAGCTGTGTCATGGTAGTTCTCTCATAAATTGCACCTACGTGCTAAGAACTGAGTGAGGATTATTTATGCTGGCACCATTTACTCTACACATATAAACCCAAACTAACATATTTAGACTGACTCACAGTCATCTTACTCTGTAATTCCACTGAGTTACCTCTTTTGTGTTTTTGCAATTGAAAGGAATGGCACTCTCACCAGATAACATTTTTTTCCAATCCGCAGAAAATTAGAATTTGTTCCATCCACTTTGCAGCTCCAGCAAAATGTAGAAAATGAACGATTTGTATGAACTCCAAACTTTCCAGTCCTAATCCAGAGAATCATACACCGACCTGTTTACCTCCATGTATGTGGGATGTCCATACTGCATCACAATAGTATCATTGGAGAAAAAGGCATCACAAAATGCAAAAGAAGTGGCAAATCAACATGGGGAACTGGGAGCACCTTCTGTCTTTGGTAACATTAAGTTGCATGAAGCCATTACTAAATTAAAAAAATAATAATAAAATGCATTGCCTATTAAACCCCAAGCCAACCCAAAGGAATTCTTTCCCATAGCTGTGATACCAGACTACCTGAATTATAAAGAACAAATTAATTGAAGTGAGCAACTAAACATAGAGGCAGATAAACTTATCAGAGGAGGCAGAGGCTCAACTGGAGTTCCTACAAGAGAGGCTCTTGGACTTCAAAACGGTGGATTAGTGAACTTTTATAATATATACATTAACACATTTTCTAGGGAAAAATTGCAGAAGATAAAAGAATATGGTCACACGATCTCTTCTCATCTTGAAGTACATGTAATAGCTTGCTTATTTGTGCCTTATCTCTGTGGGCGATGGGGAAAAAGAACAGCTTTGCGCTGCTCTCAGAGAACTTTGTGCAGCTTTGATGCAGATTTGCAGCAAAAGAGATCACAGCAAATTGCATGCTCCAGGGCTGCTGCACACCAGTCAGTCCACTGGCTCAGGAGTGCTTTCACAAGTGGGACTGAGGTATCATTATCTGCTTTTTTTGTTATTTTTCCACTGCATGAATTCTTGGGACAAGCCACGGCAAGAGAAAATGGTCAAAGCAAAGCAAGTCAGAAAAATTGTTGTCAAATGACATATCTCTCTGTCAAAGGCTGTTCCTTGTATGTCATCGCATCTCCAGACCTTGTAAAAGAGCTTTCAGAGACTATCTGCACTGTGCTTATTTCATAAATAGAGCAAACAGTCATCCCAAGGCTTCCTTAAGGAACAGATGCCTTCCCAAGCAATAGTTACAGAAATTTATCATTAGATTTGTAAGCTGCGTGCCCATAATAAGAAAGAAATTAAATTAAATGTAAAAGCAGAACCTACCATCAGCCAGGGCCAATACACCAGTAGGCTCAAATACAGCAGGCACCAGTAATGCAAAGGAAATATATTGCTCACTTCATGGCCCACTTAGAGTGCCGATCAGTTTTTCAATTTTCAGGCTAATTTTGGTGCAGAATCACCTTTTCTGTAAGCCAATGGACACAAGTCAATGAGAGTGGTCATCCCCACTGTCACACTGCTGAAGTAAGTGCTTCTGATGAACACTGTGGATTGGTCTAGAGGAAGTGAGGACAATCCTAATGCAATTCCTTCAGATGTGGTATGGTATAATCCACGATTTCAATTGTCTTGTACTTCTTACCTAACATGGTGTTTTACCACAAAAGGAATTTCTGATAGTACGTTTGTTATTATTGTTTTTCTTTCTGTCAATACACAGGATGGCAAAACAAAGCCATGTGTTCATTCCCAAATGGCTTTACACAAAGCCCTGAGAAGAAACAGCCACCCCTTCTCCTGCTAAAATACATTTGGAAGAAGCAGTCCTTGCTCCTACCCAGAGGTCAAATGGTCCCAGAGTTAAATCATATTTTCCCCCATGTGTGAATTGGACAGTTATGGTTTTCAATTCCAGAGCTGGCTTCAGCTGAATCAAGTGCACATGAACGTGACCAGCTTCTGCCTGCACTGCCTACAGAGTCATGCACAGCTCTGTATTCACTGTGAATTATGAGCTAATGCATCTTCAGGCATTCTCCTGGCTGCTGGAGGGGTGAACTTTTTGGGTAACAGTCAAATATTGGCCCTGCAGCTCTTTACTCCCGCATCCACAGTGAGTGATGTTCAGTCTGAGACATTACTGCAGCAAAGTGCACCTGCAAATATTTTATTTGGTAACTAACAAAAGGCTCATCTGGAAGCTGTGTCAATCTCACTGCAATATCAGAAGAACTCCCTCATTAATTACTGCACAGATGATCCCTCCTGAGAGTACGGCTGCTGTAAGGCTGCAGGGTTAAACAGCAGCGTAGCTCAGAGCGAGCAGCTCCCAATGGACAACTGCGTGCACCTGCACTTCTGAAAACACTTCTGAAATATTCTGGCTGGTGGGAGGAGAACTTCAGAGCATGCAAGAGAAGGGAGTGCCTCCTCTGCGCCTAGCCCTGCTGCATCTGGCATGTACAGCTTCCAAGGATCAGGGCAACGTGGGTTTGTAAGCATGCATCGAATCATAAAGGTTGGAAAAGGCCTCTAAAATCGTCTAGTCCAACCATCTAGTCCAACCCCACTGCTCCCACTAGCCACATCCCTCAGTGCCACATCTCCACAGCTCTTCAACACTTCCAGGATGGTCTTCCACCACTCCCCTGGGCAACCTGTGCCACTGCATCACCTCTCTTTCTGAGAAGAAATGTTTCCCAATAGCCAAACTCCTCTAGCACAACTTCAGGCCATTACCTCTCTGCGTGCATGCAAGGGTGCTGTGCAAACAGCTAACGGATAGAAGGAACCAGAGGACACCACAGAGGAAACATAGCTCCACTGATATACACATCAGCTAATTCAGTTCTGGTAGACAAGTGTCCTATCCTGAGTGATGTGGAAGCTGGTAACTTCACAGGAAGGGCAAGGAATTCATGGGCAAAGCAGCTATAAATTTTGCAGTGGTTTGTATGGGTCAGGTATGATGCAGAAATATGGAGCACAGGGTGAAAACACGTGCATCATCACTCTGATTGTGACAAAAGGATTACAGCCTCTGAGGTCACAAAAAACAAAGTTTTCTGGACTAATTACCCTACAAACATAACCGAACATTTGCCTACAGAACATGCTGAACACCCAAACACATTTTTAGCACCTAAAAGTGCTAGGAAACCAACGTAGACTTTCCTAGTTTCATTGTAACGCCACAAACTTACACATACTCATATATAACTTTTTTCTCCCCCCATGAAAATGAATAAACAGAAGGGTTTGAAAGCTCCAGACACTGCTGCAGGGAATGGAACTCACTGAACAGCTTTGTGTTCCGTGAGGGTCTTGGCAGCACCCTCTCACTTGTGCACAACCATTCAAGATTTTTCCCATGAAATGCAATGCTCCCATCTTGTCGTCACTCCCCAAAGCTTGGGGAAGAGCACAGGGGCAAGGAACAGTTTGGCTCACAACACCTAATAATAGTTTGAGAAATAATAACATGTTCTTCCATTAATCCAGCCTCCTTGTTCTTCAGGGATTGACTCATTTGAGCCAAAATTCTGCTGGATGAAAAACAGACCTCCAGAGCCAAATCCTGTTCTTGGTTTCACTACAATAAATCTTGGGTAGCTCCACTGAGCTCAAGCTACCCAGTAAACACAACAGCACAGCCCTAACAGAGCATAGTCCTGCACATCCATCAGCTTCAAGATCATTGTTTCTTTTGGAAATTGCTTTAGAATCATCCACCTATAAATAAAACACTAAATCCACTGAACTTGCAAACAATACTTGAAAGCACACACACATCTGTGAAATAAATCTGCAGTAGCAATATATCTGAAATTGGGCTTGATGCTGGTATTTATTTTTAAAGGTCACTTAAAGTGAACATGCCGGTGACTGGAGGGAATCTGAATTTAAGAGTGACTGAGCTCATGTCTTACAAAGTAAAGAAAGAAAACCACTGATCTACAGAGATCAAGCTGAACTTACCAAGCCATACAGCGACGACAATGATCCAGTCCATATGTCAGTACACAATGATTCTGTTGTACTGATCATTCTGACATCAGAAGCAAAAACTTTTAAGGCCTGAAAATTATTTAAATCAGTAACACATGTTCCAATAGGAAGCTTACAAATAGTTTCATTGTACTCTCAAATAGCTGTAAAGCGTTCAGAATTATAAAACTGATTGTATGCACGTGTTGCCCTTGATCAAATCCATGACACACCCCAACCCTGCAAGCAATGCTAAGGCAGTGTCCTCATGTCCTTGCAGTGTCCTTTTGCTATCAAGTCCTTTGCATTTGAATGCAAAGAGCTGGCTGCTTCACAGTTCTGCAGCCTTGCTTGGTTACATACCTACTCTTCACAATCCAAGTAGCAAGATGCTGCAGCTGTTGGCTTGGATGCTCTGTCTTGCATCTCACAGCCACTGTACTCAGGTGGCAGTAGGGTGCCTCTGTTGTCTCATTTTTGGGGGTGGCCTGGCATCATCTCAGAGTTTTATTTCAATTTTTTGTTTGTTTACTTGCTTATAGAAAAATAATTTAAGCTCTCAGGTGAGAGACAGGAGATGACAACAGAGGGCAACCCAGCTGCTGAGCCACATGGGCAGCCCATTGCCGTCATGCTGCTTGGGACACTTCATACATTATTGCCTCTTCTCACTGGCTCATTGAACTCATCATAGCAACCTGAAAGCCCTTCGTTCTCCTTGTCAGATTGTATCTCAT